AATGAATTAAATATAATGACGTTAATTTTTTTTTTAATAAACAAAAGATGCAACAATTGCACATTCAATAAGAAAAGAAAATCATAAAATAATCTTGATAACTAATAATCTAAAAATTCAAAATGGAACAAATTACTGAAGAAGCAATTAATCAAAGCATAATTGAAAAAGATACTAATAAAACAATTCAATTATGTGAGCTATACCTTAAAAATATTGTCGTCCCAGGAAAACAATCAAAAGAAGTTGAAAATGTATTTATTCATTATCTCCATGCCATATCAAATACTGATGAGTACGAGAAAATTAAAAAAATGTTTGACCAACTATATAGTAAGATAAGTGATGCTTCAGATAATGTTGCTATAATGTACATCAATGCCTTAGTTCTTAATGATAAGATAGAAGATGCTGCTACTTTTTCAGCTCATTACCTAATTGAGAAAAAGAGAATAAATGAACTAAGTGAAGAAAAAGAAATTGTTGAAAAAATGATAAACACTTTAAAAGAAATCAAATTAGATAATACCTCTAATCCTCAAATCGTTGAATTAGTAAACCAATTAATAACAGAAATGTTGAAAGAAGTAGATTGGGAAAATGAAATTAAGATTCAACTTGAAAATGTGTTAAATGCTGATCTTGTTCCAGAACAAAAAGATGATGACGAAACTGAAGAAGAAGAGGTTACAGAAAAAAATCTCCAAACCACACAAACTACTTTCTTAAATAATTGTACAAGAGAATTATGGAGAAGTGCTTGCAGTCTTCTTGATTATATAAAGGGTATAATGAGAAAACCAACCTGTAATGAAATAGTAATGATCGGTGTTGGTGCAGCAGCTGTAATTGGGGGAATTTATACCTTAAGAAAAATGAAAAAATAATTAATTCTATAAGACTCTTTTGATTTTTAACTTTTTTCTAAAACAAATATAAAAATTAAAACATAACCACAACAATGCTAAATTAGTTTATGGGTTAAGTCTGATTGGATCACGAGGGAATAATGTGACTTTACGAATATTAGGAATACCAAGATAAAGCATGGTAATACGTTCAAGACCAATACCACAACCAGCATGTGGCCATGATCCAAATCTGAATGATTCAATATAATCTTTAAGAGTTGCTGGATCAACACCCTTTTCAATACATCTTTTCATTAAGAATTCTGGGTCATGAATACGTTGAGCACCTGAAGTGATTTCTTGACCTCTGACAAAGACATCATAAGAATTGGAATAATTTGGATCATCAATATCTGGCATAGTGTAGAATGGTCTAATAGCAGCTGGGAACTTATCAAGAATATAGAAGTCAGTATTATACTTAGCTTTAATCAATTCTCCAAGCTTAACTTCTTGTGGAGTACTGAAATCATCATAATCACCAATAGTTTCTCCAGCAGCTCTTAACATTTCAATAGCTTCTTTATAAGTCAATCTTAAGAAAGGCCTATAAACTAAATCTTCAAATGGATATTGTTTTCTAATAACTTTAAGTTCATCTGGGAATCGTTTTGGAATTTCATCAAAAATAAAAGTGAACAACTTTTCCATGACATCAATACATTCATGATAATTTTCAACAATTTCCATTTCAATATCAAGTCCTTCAAATTCTGTTAAATGTCTTCTAGTATTAGAATTTTCAGCTCTGAAAACAGGTCCAACTTCAAAGACTTTACGGAAATCACCCATAATAGCCATTTGTTTATAAAGTTGTGGTGATTGTGCAAGGTATGCTTTTCTATCAAAGTATTTCACTTCAAAAATATTACTTCCTCCTTCAGATGAACATCCAATCAATTTTGGTGTATGAATTTCAACAAATTTTTGTGAAGTTAAAAATTCTCTGAATAATCCACAACAAGCTGATTGAATTCTGAAAATAGCAATATTTGTAACAGTTCTTAAATCTAACATTCTATTATCTAATCTAGTATCTTGTGATACTTTGACATACTTTTGTGCAGAAGCTTTTTCTTTTAATAACTTAGCATATTCATCTTTTAATGGTCTCTTTGTAAGATCTTTTCCTTCATTATCCTTCAAAAATTTAGCAATTTTTTCATCAACTTTAGCAATATCTTCTTCTTGTTTCTTAAAAACAGAACTTGGGAATGTTAAATCTTCAATTTGCATTGGAAGTGGATATTCTGCAAGAGAAATAACTTCAATTGAAGTAACATGGATTTCTACATCTTGTTGAGTAGCTTTTTCTATTGGTTTTTCAACAGCTTTGACAATACCAGTAATGTCACAAATTGATTCAGCTGAAATCTTTTGACAAAATTGAACAAATTCTTTAGAAATAGTTTCTGACTTCATAACAAGAGCTTGGCATGTATAAATTCCTTTTCTAAGGAATAAAAATACCATATTTCCTTTACCTCTTACAGCTTGAACACGTGCTCTAACAGTAACTGTTTGTTCTGCAATGGCTGGAACAAGTTCTTCAATTTCAGTATATTTCAATCCTTTTTTGTAACATGGTTGGGATTGATGCATTGGCATAACTTTGAAATTTTCACCTGAAACAAGCTCTGGTGTTTTCAAAAGAACAACTGGTGGGAGTTGTGGTTTCTTTTCTTGAGTAGTTGCCATAATAATTTAGAGTTCAGTTCATCTATACATAAATAGGGGTTTCTGTAAGTTAGATAATTGATTACCACTTTCCTTGAATTTTTCTTTTTTGTGTCTTTCAAAAAGAACTTGGTTATTTTTCCTATAAATTACATCTAAATTCCCTAAATTATACCTAAACGTGGACCTATTTGGTGATTCGTCATCTAAAAGGAATTTTGATTTTTGTTATTAATCACATAAGAAAATTTCATATGAAGAACTAAACAAGCAATGGCTGAGGGTCAATTGGAAATTCCATCATTAGGTATTGATGACTCTTGTGTTAATAAAGCATTTGAAGATGCAGAAGGTGATGTCTTTGAATTTGCAAATTTATTAGCCAAACAAGTTGGTCCTTTAGATGATGAAGATGAAATATTGCCTGAACACATTGTTAGTGATGAAGATGACTTTAATCCTAAAAATGATAACAAACAATTTAAAGATAATAACAACTAAGTGTCTGATGAATGTGAATGTTTTTTGCTTTTATTTCCTTTTTAATACACTTATTAACATCAAATTTTATTTTTGTAAAATAAAAAATCTTGCAGAGAACTTAAAAAGAGATTTAAAGGGAAATGAGAATCGTTCTTCTCATTTTAATTGGGATACTACTACAATTTGTAACTACAAGTTATTCACCAATACTTTTGTCAGGTGATAAAATGCAAACAGTTATTTTATCACCGCCATTTCAACAACTAGTTGAATCTCCTTGCCATGAAGGAAAACACAAAGGCGTTATTCATGTTTTTAAAAATACTTCAGGAAGAAGAGTTAAATTGAGATTAGACTTTTATAATAATCCACCAAACAAATTAGAAGTTTATTTATATACTCAAAATAAATGTGTTATCAGAACAGTATCAAAATCTCATTTAGCAGAACTCCGTCATGTGGTCCAACCTCATCAAACAGTTAGTGTAACAATTATCTCAAGAAATGAAGAAAAGGGGTTGGATAATGATGCAAGAATTGTTATGCGTGTTCGTTCAAATCAAGTAATTGTAAAAATGCCACAGAATAGGGGCATAACTTGTCCTGACTCTACACCATTATTAGGAGAAAGATATTATCAAGGGAATGGACAAAAATGGTATAGGCTAAAAGTAAACAAAGGAGAAGAGAGAATTATTACTACATGTAGTTCATATACAAGAATGCCAGTTAAAATAGACTTATTTGACAATTGTGGAGGCAAACCAATTAAATATGAGACTATGAAATGTAATAATGAAAATGGTAGAATTATCCGATTTAAAGGAAAGTATAATGGGAATGTATTTGTCCATGTAACGGCATTGCCAGGAATAAGAAAGAACAAACAAATTAGTAGTCAAGTAATTAGAAGAGGAAATGGTGGAAAGTATATTAGACGATTTTATCAAATGCTTGATAGATATTCCATAGAGAGTTTTAGTGACAAAAATCAAATGTATAACAATGAGTGCAATAAGGCAAGAGTAACAAATAACATGTTTTTATCAGATAAAATTAATTTTATTAGAACTAAAAAGACATTAAATAAGAGTAATAAACGATACAAACGAGCAGTGTGGTATAAAGTATTTGTACCAAGAAGAGGGACTATTAGCGTTAATACTTGTAGCTGGCAAACTACAGGAACAGCTCATATTGAAGTAATGAAAGACTGCAAAGGGGAAAGTATTTCAGTCGAAAGAGCAAAATGTCAAAATGGAAGAAATGAGAGAATAACAATCAGAGGAAAGAACCAGTCAAGATGGGTTTATTTAAGGGTTGAAGAGAGTGATGAGAAAGATGGAGGAAATGTAATAGTACAAATAAATAGAATTGGAGCCAATAGACAATTTAGGAGAAGATTCTTCATTCTAAGACCATTCTTCCGTCGAAGACGATTTACATTATCACCAATTATATGGAAGAGAAGAAACCAAAAGAGACAAATAAAGAAAAACAAAGAAAACAAAAAAATAAAGAATGAACTTATTAAGAAAGAGTTAGACAAAAAGAAGAAACAATTAGTTAAGGACTTTGAAAAATCTATTCAGAAGAAAAACCAAGAAATAAGAAATGACACAACAACTGAAAAGAAAGAATTAATTAAAAGTAATGAACATCTCAAGAAAACACAAACAAAAGAACATCCAATACAAGAAATACATAAAGAAAAGATTGAAATACATTCGGGCAATAACAATATAATAATGATATTACTTGGATTTGTTTTAGTAGTATTACTTGGAATTAGCAGTATTATCATAATAAAATTAATGAAGAAGAAATCAACTAATCAAGGCATTCCTTTATAACATCAACTAAATGTTTCTTGTTCTTTTAAAAGATAAATTAAATAAAGAACAAATTCAATTATTTCATTGTTTTTGGTTATCGTTATTTCTTTTCAAATTTAAAAAAAAAACAATTATAACACATTAACTAGTATCTCAAAATATTTTTATTTGACTCTGATTATTAAGGTTAGTCAATAAATTTCATAAATTCATTTCTATTCTTATAACCAATTCCAATATATATAATAGTACTATTACTAAAACTTAGTTCAGTACTTCTATTATCTCAATTTTTAAAGAAAAGGTACTTTTTTTAAGACTTAGAAGTTATTGTGAGTAACATCCATTCTTTTAAAACTCTGAGAACGATTACACAATTCTTCACTGCCCATTTTGTATATACAAATAAGAGTTTTGCTCTCATTAATTCATTATTCTCTTTTATTCTTATAACAATAGTGTTAT